ATATTTGTGAGAGGAAATAAAAACAAACATATAAAGTTTACAACTCCAATTTTGTGGTCTAATGTTAGCCACACAAAAAGAATCTCACTTACAGATAAAGCAGTATATGTAAGCCTTAAGTTTCTCTCTAATCCTAAACTACAAGATATTCCTCCATGCAAGCAACAGTACCTTCTGCATGAAAATGATAAGCAATCACTCTGAGCTAGCACTCTGAGTCATTCAGAATTCAGCTAGTTAAGAACAGGGTGCTAAGAAATCAAAGGTCATAGGTTTCGATCCCATATGAACCAATTAGTTTTGCCCTTTTCCATGATACACAACTGCCAGTCATCTCACCAATAATTCTGATTACAAGAAGATCAGGGAAAGGAGAAGATAAATCATCACCAATATAGGGAAAATCAAATTTCAAAGTCACCAACAAGCTAAAAGAAGGACCTTTTCTATATAATATTATTAAGAGCTTAAATTTATAACTCAAAATGCCTACTATGCATTTATCATCTTCACATTTCTGAGGTAGGTACTGTTATAATACCCACTTTACAAATGATAAAACTGAGACTTAAGAGAAATTAATTTGTCCAAGATTATATAGATAGGAGATCCAGATTATAATTTATGTTCTTATCTAACTCTGTAAATATAACCCCAAAATCTATTATATTTAATAAACATCAATTATATATCTAAGTAATACATGAAATGAATTAAATGATTGGAGAATGTCAGGACAGATGATGCAAAGGTAGTTCTAGTTGGACTGAAAACTAAAAAGGCTAAAGTATCCTCATGATAAAGGACAGGTTGCTAACTGAAAGAAATCTTACCTATTTCTTTTCACTTCTGTGACAATTTCCCTAATTTAGGGTGTCTATCAATGCCAGAGTAATATAGCAAGAATAGAGCATTTTTGAAAATTAGTAAAATGCTCCACACTACCCTTATTCCAAAAGCCACTATAGAGCAATCTGTATGAGTATTTTTCTGGACTCAATTATTTTTTTCTATTTGCACACCCTTATGCTACTACTACTATATTGTGGAAAATATATCTCAAAAGCAAGTAATGTAAATCTTCCAGTTTTTTCGTTATGAAACTAAAGTCCTTTACATTTCTCTAAAAGTTTCGAATTACCTTCTATGTTTTTAAATAAAAAGCCTCCTGGACATTTTATTGTATTATATGATAGGTAGATTCCCTTGGTGAGAAAAAAGCAACAATACTGCATCTTTGGTTCATAAATTTGGTATAGCTTCCTATTTATTTGTATTTTTATTACATTCTGTAATGTTTCATACATTTCAGAGAATGGGTCTGGTGTATACTGTGTCAAATTTATCCTTAGTTATTGTGCTTTGATGTTTTAAATGATACTATTTTCAAATTCAATTCTAATTTCTGTTTCTAGTACAACTGGTCTTTGTATTGATGTATTCTGCAACACTACTAAACTTATGTACTGATTCTAGGGTTATTATCATAGATTACGTAGAGCTTTTATACAGATACCATATTGTTTGTGAATAAAACATTTTATTTGCTTATTTTTGTTTCTTCCTTTATGGAGTATTAACTCCAGTACAATGCTGAATACATCTGAGTTGCTACTATGATATGGAGTATATGTGCTTTAGTGGATTTGGTGGAAAATGCATTGCTAGTAACCCATGAAACGGGGACCCTCTAATCCCACAATACATACAGTGATGTAAACCGACATTACCTCAAAATATTTTTAAAAAATGAATGTGGGAAAGGGCAAGGATAATCTAAGCAAATTATTAGCAATTAAATTCAGCAATATATGAAAATAAAAAAAGCTGCAATGAAATTAGGTTTATTTCGGGGGGAACAGGGAGATCAAGCATTAGGTTGAGCTGTAAAACTTGTTACTATATGAGGAAAAATAAATTAGAATGTATCCTTACATTTTAGTACATACAAAATGTAATGCTAAATGAACTGTGAATATAAATGACATAAGCAAGGCCCTGGAACTTTCACAAGGAATACAGAAGTCCAAATCTTTCTTTATGGGTAGAGGTGTAGGGAGTGACTTCTTAAGTGAGATACCAAAGCACTAACTATACAAAATACATTTTTTCTAAATACATTTTTCTAAATTCAACATTCTTTTAATCATGAAAATGAAAAGACAAAAGGCACACACTGTTATATTTGCCAACATTTAACTTATTGTCAAGACCGCACAAAGAAAGGTTACAAATAAATAAGAAGAAACGTGTAATAGAAAAATGGGTAAAGAATATTAAATGATAAACTCATGTCATTCGCAATGACATGGATAAACCTGGAAGGGATTATCTCACTGAAATAAACCAGAAAGAAAAAGAAAATGTAAGATACTTTAACATATAGGAGGATATAGGGGAACCAAATAAAAGACCAGGGAAAAAAATAATTCTAATAAATTTTTAAAAAATTGTTAATAGAGGCCCTCCCTGGTGGCGCAG